AACAAACACCAAAATCATTAAAATGAACAATTTTATGATTACTTGGGACTAACAGACAAGATGACAAATTATTACGAGTAACATTAAAGCATATACGTTTTTAATAGAAAAAGAAGACAAACTCAAAATTTAACAGCACATAAATATACTTTTGATATTGACCCCTAATTAGTTTATTCTAATGTTCACATGAATATAAAAGGTGTCAATATTTTAATTATGCATCAGGAATTGTTTTTCTTTTTTACTTTTATAATGTAGAAGAGAGTGTTTCAAAATAAAATCAGTAATCACCAGGCAAAGCAATTACCACTTCACTAAGCCTTTTCATTTTGTTTTATAAATTAAAAATTTGTCATTTACCCATTGTTGTTTCTGCTTCCAGTGAATAAAAGCTCCAGACTGGGATGAAATGTGGATTGCTACAATCGCGGACAAACCATACATGATGTCCAAAGTTTATGTAATTACTCCTGTTAAACAATCAAAACAATATTTAAATATATAATTAACTTAGGCTCAATAGCAAGTAATGTGATAACAGAACGATAAAAAGTAATGCATAAATGGATTCCTATGTGGTGATACAATAGACCACAAGTTGTAATATCGTTTTTAATCGATTGTTACATTAAATACAAGCTTTTGTCAACTCACAAGTTGACCTCTTAATTCTGCAATAGTCTATAAGATATTTACACCGTCACACACAGGTAAGGGTTATATAAATTACTTTTTCATTAAAAAGTAACACTGAATTCAACACACCCATTTCAAATAAACAGGAGGTCAAATTAATAATCTAAATAATTATCATTATCTAACTATTTAATAGTTTCTTCAAATTGTTTAATATTAAATTAAGAATGCACAATGAGGTTGTGTAAGTATAAATAAGAAAAAGTGAACGTTTGATTGCAAAAACAGTTCATTCACCAAATTCAAATAATCCTACCTTTTGATACAATTTCGTTGCGTATATACTGGTCACAGCCTTAATTTTTAACTATATAATCGTTTTTACCTCCAGAGTTCACACAATAAAAATTATAATAAACATTAACATTGCTTTAAATCTTATTGATTGAAATATGCCATAGATAATAGATCTACAAAGGGTAAGTATCATAGACGTATATTAGAATCATAGATAAATTAGAATTATTAGTAAACGTCGATGGTAAGTATTATACATATATCTTTAATCTATGAAATAACATTAAATCTCATGAATAGCAAAATATGAAATACTTTTTATAGGTGCCTGTAAGGAAGCTTTTACTATTGACCGCTAGAGGTCGCTTTAAAAAGTTGGAAATCTGCAATCCTCGCTAGTAAAATACGAGGGACATTCGAAAAGTATAGACAACTTGTTTTAATCATTGATGCCTCGATGATTGGATTTTGTTGTTTTTAACAGGCAACTACAATCAGATCCGAAATCTGCAAAGTTAGACAGGATTTGCATGTTCACCTCCTATTTTTAATTACAAAATAATGATAAAAGGAACAACTTCTTCTTCAGACACTATTTTTATCTTATCCGTACTCATAAACAATCATAAAAGTATAACAACATTTAGAACACTAGAAAATGAGATATTACAAAAAAACTTAATACTAAATCGTTATGAGAAATTTATAAATATAAATAATTTTTATTTTTATTATTTTATCAAACAAAATATTCCATGAGAAAATGTTTTGCAACTGTGCCTCAGTCTTCTTACGTTTTATTTTATTTTTAACAGAGTAAAAAGGCACTTATTTACAATACTGTTCTTAACTCCTAGGTAATTGTATCATTTGATAAATAGCTAAAACGTTTCATATCTATTTCTGTTGTAAAATTCCTGACTGTGAGCAATGAATTCCTTAAACATGTACGTTGAAGTTACGTTTTACAGCAAAATTACGTTGCCATTCTGTAGCCTCTAGAATTACTGATTTATATTACAAGTGTTTCTAGAACTAAATAAGGAATCAAAAAAGTAAAAAGAATTAGTGAAAAGAATAGCACCCCTGTTTTAGAATGTAGTTTCGCTGGGCCCCTTACGTTCTATACCCTTTAGCGTGTACATATGACTATGTACAACAATTTCATTGACAAAATAAAGTAATATTCTTAATAAGACACAAAAATTAACAATTATACGAGACACTTAGTACAATAACAGAGAAGCACACTTATTTACAAAAATAATAATTAAGCAACACGTTTCAAACTAGCTGAATGAGTAAATAATAAACGCAAAAAAATATAAATTCTTACTTTAAGGCTCATCTATTTATTATTTAACACAATAATAATAGTCGGCAGCATCGAAGGAGATAATAAGGAATTAGAAATTTTGAATAACTAAATGATAATCAATTTAAAAAAAGACTGGTCCGCCAGCTGGACTCAAAAACAAATTATCCAAATTCAAATTACAATCAATATTCTTTAATGTTAATATTACGGATAGCCTTGCAAAGTGGAAAGCTAAATAGAATGTAACTGAGTAGTGGAAATGAGTCTTAAAATAATATAACTTATTACATTTTATCATTTATGAACTTATTATTAAACAAAGAATGGTTCACCATAAAAAACATTATTTAAATGCCATTATGTGCATTGGTTATAGGTACTATACGATGTTTGGTAATAGTTGTTTGTAGATATTACCAAGAGAACACCTTTTTCCTTTCATTTGGTTCCAATATTCCGTTCGGATTTAATTATTCGAAGAATGACAAAGACTTCATTTCGTTGTAGGTACAGAACTTGGACTAGAACGTATGATAACTGCATCGTGAACTGACAGTGCGTTTATAAGCAGTCTGTTTATTGTTATTCGGTTGTGCACTTTATTATTTCTTGACAATTTCAATCACTTTATGTACCCGTCGATTGATCTGCAAAGACAGAAAGCAAAGAAAATTCCGAGCAGCTGCAGCAGCCCCAGTCCAATTCCCACACCAATCACGATGTTCAAATGGGACTTCATCCAGTTCTGAAGGGCTTCGTAACAACCCTGTAAAATGAAAGTTCACAATTATACGATAAAGTACTCGTTTTTATAAATAATCTAAGGTGTCTCATCAGTTTGGGACTGCATCTATATATGCATCCTGAACTAAACTGCATAATAAAAATTATATTCACCCTTAAAAATCTTATTTTATTAGTAACACTGAAGAAACTCAAATGAAATTAAGAAATTTTTAAGTTATCATTCTCTTTCTCGTAAATTATTTGTGACCAAAAATTGTCTGAAAATTTTATTAAAAAATTGATGATTGTTTCAGAACCACAAGAACTAAAAATATTGAACAAAAAAATAGAATATTACAGGCAATAGAAAATCAATCAATCAAAGAAAGAAATTTTTATAATAATAATATTAACGTAGTTTGGCCTACCTTTTGGTAGTAAGAGTTTGATTCGGAGGGTGAAGTGGTACAATAGGGTGAGGTAGGTTTGAAAAGCGTTTTATCTCCCTCGAGGACACAACAGGACTCCGGGACCTGTTTTCTCCCCTTTTCTGCCACCCATTTGGGGCTGCTGTCGAAGTCCCTGTAATCGTCCACTCCACAGCAAGACAGTTGAGCTTGCAGATGGTTCCACATCAGTGTGACAGCGTCAGCCTTCTCTGGGACAGCGTAATATTTACTGATCGTCGATTTTAAGAAATTTCGCGTTTCCAGATCCGCCTAAAAATAAAAAGGAAAAAATATAAATAGCAATCGCATCGATCGTAAGAAAATTAAAATTCGAAAACTATGCCAAAAAACCTTGGGAAGAGTCATAACTTTCATTTATTAGTTACTAGCGACCCGCCCCAGCTTCGCACGGGTGCAATGCTGATACTAAATATGTATATTTTTGTTTTGTTTAGATTATTATCGAAAAGGGGAAATTTTCAAAAGATACTCCCTGAACATACTACAGAATGTCTTTATATACAAAATTCACAGTTTTTTTGTCATCAGACAATACAAACCGGCCTCCCGGCCGGTACCGCCGCAACCGCTATGTCCCTGCAGTTTAAATCTGTAATATCTTCGAAAATATTCATTTAAATTACATGCTGTAAAGCGCCATGTTGATCTATATTAAATGCACAATGTATTTAAGGTATTTAATTGGATATGAATTAATGCTGTATTGCTTAAAATCGCTTCGTAAATAAGTCATTATTTCCCATAAAAAGTAAAGGATAAAAAATGGTTATCCCTAAGAGATAGACATATACTACCATCGCGGACTTTTTTGTAGACCCTTTTAAGATGTACAATATTGTAGTAAATTTTTTTATCTATCTCGTAGGGTTCAGCCAGCATTCGCAATGTAAGCGCAATAAATGTGTTTATTTACGACATCACATTAGAAACCTCTAAAATTATCAGTGTTTCCCTATTATATTATGCATGTATTATACGTATAAACCTTCCTCTTGAATCACTCTATCTTTTAAAAAAANTCTCGTAGGGTTCAGCCAGCGTTTGCAATATAAGCGCAAAAAATGTGTTTATTTACATCACATTAGAAACCTCAAAAATTATCAGTGTTTCCCTACTATATTATGCATGTATTATACATATAAACCTTCCTCTCGAATCACTCTATCTTTTAAAAAAAACGCATCAAAATCCGTTGCGTAGTTTTAAAGATTTAAGCATACATAGGGACAGAGAGCGGGAGAGCGACTTTGTTTTATACTATGTAGTGATGTTGCAAATTTGTTAAAATTTCCTTTCGCGAATCATATAATTCATAATCCAAACAATCTAATTTACGATGCGGTTCATTAGCCGTTCTCTGACGACCTTAAAATTTTTAAGTCTGCAAACGAAACTTCGAAGGTCTGCTAACGGTACAGAAGTTTATGACCATTTTGTGTAACATGGTACAATAGCTCCAGCAAGTTTTCCTAAAGTCGGTCACTGGGCACGTGTTTAGATTAAACCTGTTCACCTCTATTCATTATTAACATCTATTACACTATAATAAAACGTACTATTTTGCATTCAACAGGGATAATGCGGTGACATACATGCATGGTGTACGGTTAATAACAACGAAAGTGAAAATTCGAAATCTTCTTTATAAAAGCAATAACAATTAAAATTTACTTTATTTTTATTTATAAACAGTTTTAATAGCACTTACTTTTCCTTTATAAGCAGCTGCTAGACCTCCGGCAGTGACTTCCAAAATCAGGATGATGACCAAGCAAATTCCGTACTGAAATCAACAAAAGGAAATCAATCAAAATCGTGTTACTAAAAAACGATTTGCATAATCAGCAACGAATTAAACTGTGAGCTACTACGATAAAAATAAAAGCAATATCTCCTTAAAATAGATGTTTACTTGTTGCTGTTGTTTAACGATTCTTGGGTACATAAAACAAAAACAATTCTAAGATGAATTATTTATATCAAAAACCCACAAATACATATACGTATAAGTGCCATATTTTGCTAAAAACCATTTAAATAACGAACAGTTACCTGGTTTTTCAATAACAATTTTCGCAGTAAAAAATATAATTAATTCAAAAAATGTTGCTAGACATTAAACAACTTATATTATTAAAAAATTTGAATAT